CCCCAAAACCCCAAAACCCCAAAACCCCAAAACCCCTTAATGTGGTAATTTGCATTTTCTAAAAAGGTGTAGTAAATAAAGTGGTATTAAATTATTGAGTTATTGATTTAAATACTTTGATCCAAAGTAATGTTAGCCTGTCCATTTCTGGAATAATAAATTAATCATGTTCAAGGTTCCATATCCGAGCCTCATATCTATGTTAATTCATAAGCAGACTAAAAGCTTGGAACTTCTTAGTCTAAATCATTATGGGCATTTTGTATGAACGATAGAGAGTCCATGTTCCTTGTACTCTTCTTAGCTAACCCACATTGCTTCCATCATACTTAATTAACAAACAGTTGATGCTCCCAAGAAGGCCTCAAATCTTCTATTATCATTAGCAATAACCTTTACACCGCTAGCTTTACTATCAAGCTCTTGCTAGAGTCTTTCTCTAATACCTCCAAACATTGTGTTGCCCCCTGATAAAACTACAGTGCCATAAAGACTTGATTTGAGATCTTCATCACATCCATCTATAGATTTTATGATCATATCTTAGATTGAATCGAGCTCTCTTCCAAGGAGTTCTTGAGGCTTGAAGAGGGCTTCTGCGCATTGTAATCTTTCATTACCGACTCGGATGGCCTATCCATCTGGTAATTAATAAGCAATGTCCTCAGTTTTTGAAAATTCAGCTTCAAAGTCTTAAGCAACGGTGCAGTGACTCTCTTTCATTTATTTTACAATATCCAATTCAGCTGGTGATGAGAAAGCGAAGCCTTTTTCTGCTAATCTCTTAGCAAAATATTTAGTTAGATCAGTACCACCTAGTTCTACTCTACCCACTGCTGGTTAAATAACAAGACCGTCTTTTATTGGAATTGTGTGAGTGACACTAGCACCAGAATTACAAACAATACCTGTTTAGTAACCATTAAAATAAAGCGATAAAAGACCTTGATTACCAATATAGAGACCCTCAACATTGAATTTTTCAAACATAATTTGAGCCATTTTTTCTCTATCTTCTTTTGGAGTCAATCCAGCTTCGGTTAAGACCACTTTGTATTCTTGTGGATCAAGCCTTAGTTAACTGCTGAAGATATAGTCCCAAAGTTTTTCAACTCTATCCCAATCTTTGATGAGACCATATTTAACAGGATAGTGAAGATTGAAACGACCATATTTATGATTTAAAGCCTCATTTCCGAATTCTAATTAATCATTAATCTAACTAACGACTGAAGGGATAACAAATCTTGGTCCTTCTTCACCAGCAAAGCCAGCCTTAATTGTTTCTGTACCATTATCGATTATTATAGGGTAGATTGTGTCTTCCATCTGTATATCTTTAACTTGTTAATTTTAATAATATTGGGATACGACTGGCCTTGATTTAATCTCTGAACTAATCTGAATTAAATTGTTCAACTAAATAAGATTAATTATTTCAAAATAAATATAATATTCCTAATATGCATTACCTACCTACATACCGATTTAATTCCTTTCGGGGTTTTGGGGTTTTGGGGTTTTGGGG